GTGATACTGCCTCGGAAACCCAAGGAGGGGTCGCTATGAGTGGGGGCCGACTCGATGGCAAACAACAACAACAACATATATAGGAATAGATGTGTGTTCATACACACACTTGTATTAAGTTTGGTTGTTTTCCTTTTTTTTTTTTTTTTTGTCTATGGCAATTAATGGACCTCAGGTTAGAATATAACTGACTGCCCTATTGATAATGGAAGCCTAATTTTTAGCTAATGAAATACTACTATGCATTCTAAAGTTTGAGGTGAAAGCCTCCACCAATGCACACCTGTTTTAATATACACTTTAAAACAAAACACAAAGTGTATATTAAAACCGGTGTGCATTGGTGGAGACTTTCACCTCATATACACTTTAAAACAAAACACGGGAGCTCTGGTAGCATAGTGGCTAAGACACTTGCCTGCTAACCAGACGGCTGGCGGTTCAAACCTACCAGCTACTCTTCGGAAGAAAGGTTGGGCAATCCTACTTCCGTAGTGATACTGCCTCGGAAACCCAAGGAGGGATCTGCCTCGGAAACCCAAGGAGGGATCGCTATGAGTCGGGGCCGACTCGATGGCACATAACAACAACAACAACAACAACAAAACAAAACACTGGAAATAAAAATGTTTTTCTTCTGTCCTCTATTTCTGTGTATATAAATATGGCTTTAATTTCTAATTTAGTAGTTCATCTTTGGAAATATAAACATATATTCATATGGTATATCCAATTTGATTATTATGGTTTATCAAATCAGTAAAATGCATGCAAACACAATAAATCAATTGTATTAATTTTTTCACTTAAATTGTTATTTATCTGAATTCAATGACTAATCAGTAAAAACTCTGTTATTATTTGTAGTAATTATTACTGTAATTATATCTGGGCTAATTTTCTGGACTATGATTAGGCTTCTAAACAAAGAATAATTTCAAATTGGCAATTCAGCCACAAATTATTTTTAAACATAGCTTAGTTATACTAAAATATTCATTAGAATAGTATAGAATAATATAAGAAAATTATAAATGGTGTTAAAAACAGCATTAATCTCTACTCATTTAACTGTTTAACATTTTTTAAAATCGCACCTTAAAGTGTCAGCTAGCATTATATCATGCAGAATCTCCAAGAATCATTATTTTCTGTATTTCTAGTGAAACAATCATTGACTTTGATTAAAATGCTTCCAAGCCTCTTAAATATCCTTTTGAATTAATACAATAAAAAACTAAAACTCAAATCGGTCGAGTTGGACCTGACTCATAGTGACCTCCTCCTTGGGTTTCAGAGGCAGTATCACTAAGGAAGTAGATTGCCCAAACTTCCTTCTGAGGAGTGGCTGGTGGGTTTGAACCACAAGCCTTCTAGTGAACAGTCAAATGCCTTAGGCACTATGCTACCAGAGCTCCCCAATATAATACTTAAGGAAAGGAATAGATGTTTGAAATCAACTTTCTAAATCCTAACGTGAAAGAATTAGGGAATGTTGCTGTTGCTAGGGTCCATTGAGTAGTTTCCAACTCATAGCGACACTATGCACAGCAGAACAAAGCACCACCCGGTCCCGTGCCAGCTCCACAATCCTTGCTAAACCTGAGCCCATTGCCACAGCCACTGTATCAATCCATCTTGTTGAGGGCTTTCCCCATTTTCTTCGACACTTCACCTTACCAAGCATGACATCCAACTCCAGGGAATGGTCCCTTCTGATAACATGACCAAAGTAGGTGAGATGAAGTCTGGCCATTCTAGCTTCCTAGGAGCATTCTGGCTCCACTTCCTCCAGGACAGAACTGTTAAATCTTTTAGCAGTCCATGGCATTTTCAGCATTCTTTGCCAGCACCACAAGTCAAAAGCATCAACTCTTCTTCGGTCTTCCTTATTCTTATTTCCAGCTCTGACATGTATATGAGACAATTGAAAATGCCATGGCTTGTGTCAGCCCCACCTTAGTCCTCAAGGAGATGTCTTTGCTCCTCAGCACTTGAAAGAGTCCTTTGCAGCCGACTTGCCCCATGCAATACAGCATCTGATGTCCTCACTGCTGCTTCCATTAGCATTGATTGTAGAACCAAGCAATGTGAAGTCTTTGACAACTTTAAACTTTTCTCCATTTATTATGATGCTGCTTAAAAATCCAGTTGTGAGGATTTTTGTTTTCTTTATATTGAGATGTAATCCATACTACAAACTGCATTCTTCAGCCTTTGTCAGTAAGTGCTTCAAGCTGTCCTCATTTTCAGCAAACAAAGTTGTGTCACCAGCATTGTTAATGATTCTTCCTCCATTCCTGATGCCACGTTTGTCTCCATATAGTCCACCTTCTCTGATTATTTGCCCAGCATATACATTGGATAAGTATGGTGAAAGGATACAACCCTGACACTCTCCCTTCTTGATTTTAAACCACACAGTGTCTCCTTGTTCTCTTTGAATGACAACCTCCATCCTGGTCTATGTACAGGGTCCTCATGAGTACAATTAAGTGTGCTGGAATTCTCATTCTTCTCAATGTTACCCATAATTTGTTATGATCCACACAATCAAATGCTTTTGCATAGTCAATAAAACATAAGTAAACATCTTTCTGGTATTCTTTGCTTTGAGCCAAGATCTATATGACATCAGCAATGATATCCCTCGTTCCGCATCTTCTTCTGAATCCAGCTTGCATTTCTGGAATTTCTCTGTCAATATATCACTGCAACCATTTTTGAATTATCTTCGTAAGATTTTACTTGCAAGTGATATTAATGATATTGTTCAATAATTTCCACATTCTGTGGGATTACCTTTCTTTGGAATGGGTACAAATATGGATCTCTTCCAGTCAGTTGGCCAGGTAGCTGTCTTTCAAATCTCTTGGCATAATAGAGTGAATGTCTCCAATGGGATATCTGTTTGTTGAAACATCTCACTGAGTATTCCATCAATTCCCAGTGGCTGGTTTTTTGACAATTCCTTCAGTGCAGTTTCAACTTCTTCCTTCAATACTATTGATTCCTGTTCATATGCCACTTCCTGAAATGGATGAAGATCAACCAGGTCTTTTGGGTACAATGGCTCTGTGTATTTCTTTCATCTTCTTTTAATATGTTTTGCATTTTCAATATTTTCTCCATGGAATCTTTCAATATTGCAACTCAAGGCTTTTTTTCCTTAGTTTCATCAGCTTGAGAAATGCTGAGTGTGTTCTTTCCTTTTGGTTTTCTAACTCCAGGTTTTTGCACATTTCATTATAGTAATTGGCTTTGTCTCCTTGATCTGCTCTTTGAAATCTTCTGTTCAGCTCTTTTATTTTGTCATCTCTTTCATTTGCTTTAGCTACTCTCCACTCAAGGGCAATTTTCAGAATCTCTTCGGGCATCCATTTTAGTCTTTTCTTCCTTTCTTGTCTTTTTAATGACCTTTTGCTTCCTTCATGGATGATGTGCCTCATGTCATCCCATAATTCTTCTGGTTTTTGGTCACTGGTGTTCAGTGCATCAAATCTATTCTTTAGATGTTCTCTAAAGACAAGAGGAATTTATTCAAGGTCATATTTTGGCTCTCATGAAATTGTTTTAATTGTCTTCAACTTCAAGTTGAACTTGTACATGAGCAGTTGATGATCTGTTTCACAATCAGCTCCTGGTCTTATTTGGCTGAAGATACTGAGTTTTTCCATCTCCTCTTGCCACAGATGGAGTCAGTCTGATTTCTGTGTACTCCATCTGGTGAAGTCCATGTGTATAGATGCCATTTGTGTTGTTTAAAAAAGGTATTTGCAATGAGTAAGTTATTGGTCTTAATAAAACTCTATCATGCAGTCTCCAGTGTTATTTGTGTCACCAAAGCCAAATTTTCTAACTTCCAGTGATTCTTCTTTGTTTCCAACTTTTGCATTCCAGTCAACAGTGAAAATTGCATGTTGAGTCAAATTCAGAGTGCAGAAGTTGATAAAAATCCTCAATACCTTCATCTTTGGTTTTGGTGGTTGGTGTGTAAATTTGAATAGTGGTAGCATTAACTGGTTTTCTTTGTATGCATATGGATATTATCCTATAACTGACAGCATTGTACCACAGAACAGATCTTGAAACATTCTTTGCAATAATGAATGCTACGCCTTTCCTTTTCAAACTGTCATTCCTGATAGATCATATGGCTGTCTGACTCAATGGCCAAAACTGGTCCATTTCAGCTCACTAATGCCTAGGATATCAATCTTTATGCATTCCATTTCATTTTTGACAACTTCTAATTTTCCTAGATTCATACTTTGTACATTCCATGTTCCGATTATTAATGGGTGTTTGCAGCTGTTTCTCCTCAAATTGAATTGTGCCACATCAGCAAATGTAGGTTCTGATAGTTTTACTTTATCCATATCATTAAGGTTGGTTTTACTTTGATGAGGCCGCTCTTTCCCAGTCATATTTTGAGTGTCTTCCAACCTAATGGGCTGGTCTTTCCACACTGTATCGGATAATATTTCAGGGCTATTCACAAAGTTGCCCAGCAACATATCAGACATGTTTCTCTGCTATTCTTAAGGTTTTTCCTGGCTAATTCTTTGAGAAATGGATGGCCTCTTCCTTCTTCCTAGTCTGTCTCAGTCTGTAAGCTGCATTGAAACCTGTGCACCATGTGCAAACCTGCTGGCATTTGGGACACCTGTGGCAAAGCCTCAAGCCTCACAGTAACATGCATGCCACCACAGTACAGTAAATTGACAAACAAGTTGTCTTCCTTTGGTGTTTGAAACCTCTCTGCCCTCCCCTTACCTGGATCCTGTGGCTCTATTGTGCCTTACTTCCCTGCTCCTTCCTGTCTCTTGGGTATGGGGCTTATCTCCCTCTCCTTGCCTGGATTCCACAGCTCTGTCTTATCCCTGGCTCTTCCCTGCCTCCCACATCTGGGTGTAGTGCCTGTCTCCGTCCCCTTACCTGGAATCCTATGGCTCTGTATACTTCGTAGAGAATAGCTAAAGCAAATTCAATATACTTTTTGAGTGTAAACATTCTAATTGCTTAAAAAGTTCATAAAATGACAATAGTAGGGTGTTTTATAGATGATTTGATCTCTTAAAGTGACAATTCCCAGAGTAATTCATTCTTTGTTTTGTGGGGACATCATTTAATTCAAGACTATATTCAAGCCCTTATATTATTAAAAACATTATATATGTGTGTGTGTGTGTGTGTGTGTGTATTTATATTATATATAGATCATAGATCACTGGTATATAAATATAGAGCAAAGAAACTTACCATCAAATATTTCCAGTGCATCAAATTGTTTTTCACTTTGAAATGTATCCACAAAGATGGTTATATTATAGTTTGGTTCCACTTTAATACTCCAAGAACACGTCTGAGAGTTAAAATAGTTGCCTGGATACCCTGGACTGAGGATTACTCCAGATGATTCTGTGCGGACTTCGTTTGCTGGGCATTGTGCTAGAGAGAAAAGTATAGGGAATCATTTTCCTTTACAAAATGAATTCAATTTCAAAAGAGAGTTTCTATTTCTATTCCTATATTTATACAAGCCAAAAAAGAATATAACCTTATTGTACTGTGATTAAATTCATACAGGATGTCAAACACAGCAGGAGAGCAACTTTGAATAAAAATAACTAGCATTTAGTATTACTCTACAATCTAATATATATATATACACACACACACACACAATATATATATAAAGATAATATTAACTAAAAAACACAGATTAAAACAACTTAATTACATGTATCATTTTCATCTGTAATTTTGGTAAAATCAGTCCTTAAAATATATTATGCCAATTAAAAAGTGCACATGTTGATAGTTAAATTAAAGAAAAAAAAAAAAAAAAGAAAGAAAGAAAAGAAAAGAAGTCAGAATTTGTATATGTATGTATGTCATGTAGGGCCAGAGCCTGAAACTTTAGAAACTCCTTGGAACTGCCTAGACTTTGGAATAAGAGCCAGAGCTTTCCTTGGCTCTGATGTAAATTGAAAACAATATACCTATCCCTCAGGACTATAACTGAGATCAAATATAAGTAATTATTTTTCTTAAATTTAAAGCACTATATGGACAGAAAAAGGAGCTCTGGTGGAATAGTGATTAATGCATTTGTCTGCTAACCAGAAGGTTGGCAGTTCAAACCCACCAATCGCTCTGTGCAAGAAGGATGGGATAGTGTGCTTCTGTAAAGGTTTACAACCTTGGAAGCCCAGTAGGGGTTGCTATGAGTCAGATTTGACATGATGGCAGTGAGTCTGGTTTGGTTTTGGATATGGATAGAAGGTGTTACAAGGATTCTGGGGTTGGTTTATCCACATGCCAGTCTTTTTTCTGACATAAAGATGCTACCAGAACATATTGTTTTTCCCCTTCAGTATTAAACTTGAGAAAATATTCAGCAAATCTAATGAAAACTGTGATGTTGTCCTTGAAGCTATAGTTAGTAGATGGCACTGGAACTTTGGGTCACCTGGAAATAACAAACATGCTACTGATTTGTAAAAATCTACCTGGAGAACTATTAGCACATTCCAGGGTTTGAATGTGATGTAGTGATTATAAATCAGAAGCAGAATCTTAACATAGCTATTCTTATTCCTTCTATTTTTAAGTTGCTGCTTTGTTATTGTTGTTGTTCTTTTATTGTGTGAGAAAAGAAGACAAAATGAAAATATAAGAGAAGTTATTTGTATCATTTTTCTTACTATATTTAAAAGTATTTTTTCAGGCATACATAGTTTTCAAATGAATTTGAATATGTTTTCCCATGAGCTAACATGTGTTTGATTCATTTTATTTCTCTTGTTTCTTTCATATATGCCTATTCCTTCATGTTCATTCCTATAAACTGCTGCTAGAAGCAACACCCACTTACAGTGAGAAAGTTTCAAATGACTGCTGGCTTTCCTACAGCTGAACTGTTCTTTTTCTGGCATCAATCACACATTAAGAAATACACTATGTCTCCTCAGGGGACTATTGGCAACCTCCTACCACAGAGAAACATCTGATTGAGGTTTCTGTCAAAAAAAAAAGTCTGAAAAATCTTACCACCATAACACATTTCTTATGTGCTTTAAGTCATCATACTTCTACATAATATTATTTCTTTAGCTTATTTTGAAAATAAATAAATAGATGTGAGGCTTAAAACTCAATGCTGTGATCAACTACCCTTTGCCGGCCTTCAGCAAGAGCAAATTATATTAGAATTTATAAAGAATTAAGATTAATTCTTAAAGATACCTATAGCTGGGGGAAAACTGTGAAACTGAGAACTCGAAACAACTGGGAAAAGCTGCCACTTGCAGCTCTTAAAAATCCATGGTCATTATCATAGATACCCAAAAGAAAGCTGTCACTTGTCTGCCATTTTTATGTGGCCTCCCTCTGGTGCTATCCAGAGAGATAGTCATTATTAGAAGGTCACTGATTCTCTTTAGTGTTCATTTAAAATTTATTCTTGTAATATTTTATAAAAATGAATATTCTTTTAGAGTTCTGAACACCATTGATAGATATCCATTGTGTATAAGATGAAGCCTACCTGACACTGAAGACCTTTAAAAATCTGGTCCCCTCTAAATACTCCTTTCCCCTAACCACACTTTAAGAGCAAGATACAAGGAGCTACTTCATCTTTCCTGGACACCCCATGCAATTTAACAGTTTTCAAACCTTTGTTATCACTTCTTACTCTTTAAAATGGTTTTCTTTTTTAATGTAAGAAATATCACTTTTCAAATATCCCTCACTGAGTTTTTTCCTAAATTAAAATAGGCATATAACAAGGTAGATATTTATTTAAGCATAATGCTAATTGCAAGAGAACCATCTTTTCTTATCACTTCTCAAAAATTGGTTACAATTATTAAAGTGGAACTTCTAAAATTGTGGTTATAGAACTTGAAGATTTGTCACTAAAAACTAATGTAAAGTTTTGTCAAGAATCTACTGGAGGATTGGACTACTCTTGAGCTTAATCAATTCAATTAAAAGAAATTCAGTGCTTAAATAAAGATTATAATTAAGTGCTTAACTATTTTGTAAAAAGATATCTTATCCCATATTTCCTTTCTAAATAATGAGATATTTAGAAATGGTAACGAAAATAACTTCCCATTAAGGTTTTAAATACATTTACCCTTGAATTGAAACAGATGAGAAGTAGATTATTTTAGGTAGTAATTGCCGTGAGTTCAGTAAAAATGGCAATCTGGCACAAGTAAAGTGAGGGTGTCTTGTCTCCGCAGAATACTCCCTCCAAATGTAGGTGACAATTGAGGTCATTTGGTGATATTTCTGTGCTGATTTACTCTGTTCTTGATTTGTCATGAATTAATTTAAAACTAGGTTAATCTCAGAACAGTGTACTTAAGGGAGATTACTTGTTTTTACAATAGCAAATATGTATGACTTTCTTAACTTACTAAGACTGTCCTTATTTAAAGCTGTCTATTCTGCGGAACTTTAGGTCATGGAAGTTGTGATTAAAACATACTTTAAAATTTCCAAGACACATCTCAGTTAAATTTTACATAAAATGGCAAAAGATGAAAACTGCAAAAATTAACCAACAATCTCTCTCTCTCACCTTCAGAAAAAAATTCTTAAGTAGAACATTGATTGCTCTTGAAATATGGTACTGATACTAATTTTCTCTTTGTCAGAAAATAATGTTGCAGTCTTAAGATTTTGTACAGTGTGAATCTCAAATTCTAAGTGAGGCAATTAAGAGGTGGAGAATTTCAGTGACATGTATAAAAACATAGATGGTTTTAGTGTTTAAAGAGAAGAGTAGACCAGATTTCTACTATGGTATTTTCCCCACCTGGCTCATATTGTTGTTGTGTTTGCCATCAAGTCAGATACGACTCACAGCAATCCCTCCTTGGGTTTCTGAGGTGGTATCACTACTGAAGTAGATTGGCCAACCTTCCTTCCAAGGAAAGGCTGGTGGCTTTGAACAGCCAGCCTTCTGGTTAGCAGTCTAACTTAGAAATAACTTATGGTTATTTAATAGTAATTCATTCACAAATATTTACTGATTTCCTTTAAATGTTGAAAATTTTCTCCCTCAGGGTAATAAAAGCCTGCCTCATTATAAAACGAGACAACACAAAGTTTCTCAGACATTTTTAAAGAATCAATTCCCAGATGTATGTACTTGCAAAATAAGGTCAGTTACTACTGCAATACAATTTTTAAAAAATGCCTTAACTAGTATAGAATTTTACATTATACAATACATGAATTGGTAAATTACTTATCATACATTCCTCATTCCCTTAAGTCTTAAAAAATAATCCTGTAGATAAAGCTCATAAACTATTATATATATATATATATATATATAATGCCTAAGGGACTACATAGTTTAGACTTAGACTCCAGGTGTTTTCAACAGTTTCATTCCTTAAGGAATGATAACATTCATATTTTTTGTCTAAGAAGAGTTCTCCATTCTTCAAAGTCACTAAATTTGTACCATGATTTTGATAAGCAGACCTGTAGCACTTAGGGACTACATTGAGTTTGAAGCTTAGTTTTCATTTTTCTAATATTTTCCCTCCAATGGTACCAATAGTGGTAGCTTTTAAATGATATTTTAAAAGTGATCTAAGTATATTCTAATCAACTGAATCAATGTGTCAACATCAAATCTTTTTCTATTATTATATATTCTCTATTTTACTGTATATGGTCTACACACTTTAAAGACATTAAAAAAACAATATATTTTTGCATTTCATTGTTCACAACACATGTACCTTTCCTTGCTTATAAATTTTACATCAAAAGAAAAAATATTAAATGCTAGTTAATTATATGTCCACTGAAGTATTTAGGGGGAAATGTCTGAGTTTACTTTGAAAAGCATCAAAAACATAAGTTCTATTAATGGATAGATAGAAAAAGAGATGATGGATAGACATGCACTAAAAGAAATATTATGAACATTAATGGTAGAATTCAGGTAGTTGGTGGTCAGTGTTCATTATAAAATTCTTTCAATTGTGTCATATGTTTGAAATTTTACATAATAAATTGAAATAAAAGCATGGTTTCTCATAGTATGTAGCTCTGATTTATTTTAGCTAAAAGAGAAAGAGTAATTAGATAATTCAGTTAGTAGAATACTTTAATTGCAATGGTATCATAACATTCAATACAGACAAATACAGACCAAGATGTTTGGACCAATGCAGATATCAAAATATTCTATATTGAAAAAGTACATTTTCAGTATCAAACTGTACATACCTTCACATGTTGGGAGAGAACCTTCAAACTGCAATTGGGAACTTAGCTTGCAAGTCAATGTGTCAGTCCCTGATAAAGTGTACCCAGGATGACACTGGTACTTCACAAAATCTCCTAAAAGAGGCAACACAATATTCTTGGAAATTTGTTTCCTGAATTTCCATAACATATATATGGAGTGTGTGAATCCATCAAATATATGTGATTATTAAATAATGAAGTCATTTAATAAAGAATGTGTGTACTCAGTCTGCTTAATAAAATAGCATAATTTTTCATTCTTCATTTATAAAAATAATACCTTAAACTTGAGCGCTGTTTATACAGAAATTAGATGGCATTTTTCCTTCCCTACCTATGTTCATTTCAATTCTCCCAAGATTAGGGAAAAAAAAAAAAAAAGAAAAAGAAGAAGAAAGAGGTGAAATATATGATTAATATTTAAGATTCTAGAATAGAATGGTTTTAAGTATCGGCAGAGAGGGTGAATCCATGACCTTGGCCTAATTAGCACAATGTTTCAATAACTAAGCCATTGTAACCATAGCAGAAATTTGGCCATATAGTTTGACCAACTGATCTAACACATGGTGCTGCAATAGGACAAAGTATTTTTAATTGTTGTTTATTTATGTTGTTACATACCGTCGAGTCAGACCCAACTCATAGTGACCCTTCCTTGGATTTCTGAGGCAGTATCACTAAGGAAGTAGATTGCCCCATCTTCCTTCCTAGGAGTGGCTGGTGGGTTTGAACCACCAACCTCTGGTTAGCAGTCAAGTGCCTTAGGGACTATGCTACCAGGAATTCTGGGACACTATAATTATACTGCAGACATATGCCATGAATGCTTTCTTAATGTGACCTGATGATTATTTAATGGATTAAATGATTAATATAAAACAATAAACCATAATTTCTAAATAGTATCATTAAATATATTCTACCAATTGTATTCCATTATAATGAAAGGCCAACATTACATTAATCATTATTTTAGTCACAAATGATTAGGCTCTACCTCAAGTGTGCGAACATGTTGGTCTAACTTAACAGAAATATATGCTCAAGTTTGTTTCTGAAAACATTATTCGAAGGATTTATACTCCCCTGAAAAAAACAAACCCCCTGTTAAGTTGTTGCTGACTCTTCATGACCCTACAAGTCAGAGTAGAACTGCCCCACAGGGTTTCCGAAGCTGTAAATCTTTACAGAAGCAGACTGTCACATCTTTCCTCTCTGAAGCATTTGGCAGTGTGAACTGCCCACCTTTTGGTTAGCAGGTGCGAGCTTAACCACCACCCCACCAGGGCTCCTCACAAAAGATGCATAGTATTTACTAAATGCTATAGGAAAAAAAAAAATGTGTTAATAATGACAAAAGCAAAATTCAAATAGAAAAAAAAAAATCATGATGAGAAAGAAAAACACACGTATTAGACACATGACCAATACTTAACAATGTTTTGGGGGATATATATATGTCAAATTACTCATTTTCTATTCTGAGCAACTACTGAAATTGAAGGTGGATGGAAAAAAGTCAGGTTGAGTTGATAGTACTGTATTGATGAAAATATTACCAATTTCAAAATCCTCATCCTCAGTAAGTATTTCTGCCAGTGGAACTGCTGGGGGAGGTTGACACTTCTTGAGCTGAAATGCTGAAAGGTTTATGGAAAAAAGAAAAAAAAAGCAAAACTGGAATTACATTTTCTGGTTAAACAAAACATTACAAAAAGCACTCCTCTTGAAATGATAATGCTTAGATATGCTGATACATCTATACTTGTTTTATAAAATGCTCACAAAAAATTTCAAAAACACAGTTTGGTAAAGCCATAGTATAAATGTCTAAGAAGGCAAATCCTCATAAGTTTATTTAATGCCAAGCATAACGTAAAGTTTGAGGACAAAAGTATACAGTGTTCCAAAAATTATAACAGTTTATTTTACTGTGAAATTCTGAGATTGAAATAGTGGAACCATGATCCGGCTCTGTGTTATATTTAAACTTGATAACATCTTATCTTGTCTCTTGTCCTGAGACACAAGTTGTGAAAACAGAAGTAAGGGATAGATAGATAGATATTACATCATTTTCAGATTTTTTTTCCCTCGAAATCATTAGAGATTTGCTTTCACTAAACCTATAATTATACAGTATTTGGTAAAGCACTTATCTGGAGACATGCATGAGGGCATCTATGAAAGGTAGCAGATGTATTTCACTGATCTCTTATGAAAGTTTCATTATAGTATATTTTCTTAGAATTAACCAAAATTCACTGCCAAATATTACTTGATGAGGTAAGATTTGAAATAATAAAAATATCACTAAACAAAAAACATCACGGGAAACTCTTGCATCAGTTATTGTAAGAAATTCTATCTGGCTGTTGAGGGTAAAGTCAAAGAATTTTAGATAGCAACAAATCATATGTCAACACTACAGGAAAAATCAAATAGAGTTCCCTGTCTTAATCAACAGAGTGAATATAAACTGACCATGAAAATTGAGGACAAAGAAACCTCCATTTGAAAAATCACTGTGAAACTTGAGCAGGACTTGATTCGTTGAACTATAAGCTGTTTCGAGGGCTGTATTTCCACTGAAAACTCCTAGCTGAGGTGAGTTCTGGTCAGGACCATCCCTAGGAAAAAGAGTAAGAGTACTTTGAATGGGAGGCTGTTAAATGATAGCTTAAATTAGCAATTCATTTTCTTCTAACAGTGGGCTGTTTCTTGGTAAAGCAGGATAGTGTGATCTCTGTGCTCCAGGCTATAGCACTGGCAACAGTGACCTAGAAAAGTAGAGCAGATTCACTCTTTACTTTCGAGGCTGACCTTTTCAGATGAATTTTAGAAACATGGTCATATTTATTTTAATGACTGCAATACCATTTATCAGTTTCCTTTAACATCTCCATATTTTAAAGTCTAAAATTCAATGTTGTCTATTTAATTGTAAGTGAGATTCATAGAATTTTGACAATGAATTATATTTAAAAAAATTGAATAAAATATAACCATCTTCTGGATAATGATTTTAGAAGTATCCAGATGTTTAATGTTCATAAAGTTGACAAACATTTTCAGTCTTCTTTTTTATGAGTGTTCTAACAATAATTATTCCACATATCATTGTTAAGAACTTTTGAGTGTACTTTCTAAACCTATAGATCAATGCAGGTAAATTGCTGATATTATATTGTGGATGGTTTTTATTGCTTTGAATTGGCAGTTTCACGTGATTAACTTAATATTTCAAATTCTCTGTTTCTTCTCATTCTCATAACTATTAGTTCAGGTAATTATCTTCCTCCAAGATTTCTTTTTACATCCTTAAAAGCCATCCTTCCTTTTTCCCTCAAGTAATATATTCTTCATCAAATAGGACTGGCTATTCTACAATCAGGAGCTCTGGTGGAGTAATGCCTGAGGCATTTGACTGCTAACCAGAAGACTGGTGGTTCAAACCTACCAGACACTGCTCAGAAGGAAGATTGGGCAATCTACTTCCATAGTGATACCACCTCAGAAACCCAAGGAAGGGTTGTTATGAGTCAGAACCGACTTGACAACAGAGGCCTTTTTTTTTTTTTTATTCAACAATCAAACTTTTACAACTTTCTTGTTTGAAATCCATACATGGATCATCATTGTTCTTATGACAAAGCCCAGAATCCTCAACATGATTTATCAGGTCACGTATTATTTGTCCCTGTCTACCCTTGCCATGCCACTTCTTTCTTTCTCTGGGACTCTTTAATAAGAGTTCAGCCACAACATACCTTATGTCTTCTACTTCACTGAAGTTACAATGTCTTCTATTACAACCTTTCTAGTAACCAGAACAACTCCTATCTCCTTCAGTTTCCATGGGGAAAGCTTCTGGTCCTTAATTCACTATCATTCCCTATGTAACACAGGGAAGAGAAGTTCTGTAATGTTTATAAGATATGCAAGACAGGTTATGTGTAGTAGTCTTTTCTTTAATATTTCTAGAAGCATCATATTCTTGTAAGGGAAAAGGATACTATAAGTTTTTCTTTAAGGAAAAAAACACTTAAAAATGTTAAATGAAATAATATTGGGATGTTCTCATATATTAAGAGGAATCATGAATGTTTCTAATGTTGTTAGGTGATGTCGAGCCAGTTCTGACTTGGACACCCCACGTGACAGAGTAGAACTGACCCACAAGGTTTTCTAAGCTCTCATCTTTATAGCCCTTATAACCTGTGACATGCAAATGACACAAGCTTGCCTGCTGAAAGTGAAGATGACTTGAAGCACTTACCAAAGAAGTTTAAATACTACAGCCTGCAGTATGGATTACACCACAACATAAAGAAAATGAAAATCCTCACAACTGGACCAGTAAGCAGCATTATGATAAATGGAGAAAAGACTGAAGTGGTCAGAGATTTCATTTTACTCAGTTCCACAATCACACCGATGGAAGCAGCAGTCAAGACATCAGATGATGTATTGCACTGTGCAAATCTGCTGCAAAAGACCTCATCTTTGCTGAAGAGCAAAGATGTCTCTGAAGACTAAGGTGCACCTAACCCAAGCCATGGTATTTTCAATCATATGCATGTGAATGCAGGAAAATGAATAAGGAAGACTGAAGAAGACTTGATGCTTTTGAGTTGTAGTGTTGGCAAAGAATACTGAAATAAATTATCTGCCAGAAGAACTAACAAATCTATCCTAGAAGAAGTGCAGCTGGAATGCCCCTTGGATGTGAGAATGTCCAGACTTCTCACCTCTTTTGGTCAGGTTTCCAGAAGGAAACATTCCCCAGAGAAGGATATCATGCTTGGTAAAGTGAAGGCTCAGTGAAAAGGGAAAGAGCCTCAAACAGATGGATTGATACAGTGGTTGCAATGATGGGCTCATGTATAGCAAGAATTGTGAGTATGACACAGGACCAGGAAACGTCTTGTTCTGTTGTACATAAGGTCACTGTGGGTCAGAGCTGACTCAATGCATCTAATGACAAGAACAATCTTTACAGATAGCCAGGTTTTACTCCTTCAGAACTGCTGGATATGTTCAAACCATCAGCCTTTTGATTACTAGTTGAGCTCTTAAGCATAGCACCACCAGGGTTCCTTAAGAATATATCTATGATATAGCAACACACACAGGAGCTCTGGTAGCATAGTGCCTAAGGCACTTGACTGCTAACCAGAAGGCTGGCTGTTCAAATCCACCAGCCACTCCTTGGAGGGAAGGTTGGGAAATCTACTTCTGTAGTGATACTGCCTCAGAAACCCAAGGAAGGGACGCTATGAGTCGGGTCTGACTCGACTGCACATAACAACAACAACAGCAACACACACACACAAAAATATTACCTGAAATTTATTGTTTGTATCTCTGGACTTAGTAAATGTATTTTCCCATATATACCTTATGAATTTATTTCTAAATATGAAATTATAAATATTAGTGACAAATCATAATAGCTTATCAAAATTATAAATTGCTTTTACTTGAAAAATCACATACCATACAGCAATGTAATCATTAACAGCTTCAGTCTGCAACAAGGTGAAGTTGATGTAAACTCCGTGACCCTGAGGCACTGTGATAAGCCAAATGCAATCCTTCAAAATTGGATATTCATCTGGAAATCCAGGGGAATAAATAGTACCATTCTGAGATGAAACATTATATCCACAAGGAGCTAAAAAGAAGCAAAGAAGAATTAAGACTAACATAGTCATCTTTAAAAAAGATAGTTAAAAATTTCTAAATCTCTAAAGTCCTCTATGCTAAAACTTTCAATTCTTAATACTTATGAAATATCACTCAGTAACTAAAAAATAAGAAAACCAAACTCACTGCTGCCAAGTCTGATTCAACTCATAGGAACCCCTCCTTAGGTTTCTGAGGCTGTATTACTACGGAAGTAGATTGCCCAGTCTTTCTTTTGATGAGTGGCTGGTGGATTTGAACCACCAACTTTCTGGTTATCAGTCAAATGCCTTAGGCACTAGTATGTCAAAATTATGCCAGTAAAATCTTGAAGCCTTAAAAGACTTATGCATTAAGGTTAAGTTATCTTAGTTTCATTTAATATATTCTTCAAATATTCAAAATTCCTTCAGAATAAGATAATTCCCATATGATAAAAATTTAAAAAAATAAATAAATAACTATAGGTTTACCATGACCGAGGTAATAGACACTTTGATGTGGATCAATCTGACACAATGGATCTTCTGAAATTATGCACAAATAAAAAATTGATATTTTTTTTTACGTCAGATTTCTAGAACCTATATAAGCTAACAAAAAGAGTGCTGTTTAACTCTTTCCTGAAACATAGACACTGTCAATTTTTTGTAGATGTTTAATGGGATAAGATCATGGAAGTCACGATTTTCCAAAGCACTGCCATATCTTATTCGTTTTCAACTATGTGAATAATTACAATATCCAATCATGTGTTATTATTTTATTTGATAAATTCATATGCACTGTTGCCATGGGAACTGTTTTACTTCATTTATGGATAAATGATATGACATTATGTTAGTGGGATAACTTAAGATCCTGTCTTTAAGGTAGTGGTACAGTATATCAAAGTCATAGAAAAGTGGACTTTGCAATCAAATCAAAAGCCAATATACGTAGAATGAACCTCACACACTGGATTCATCTGAAGCATTCAAAGGTTTTTTGCAAAAGATACACAGTTTAGCTGGGGTGAATAAGTCTAAATAGAGAAAATACAAAAAAAGAAATATTTAGTAACAAGAAGAAAGGAATGATGAAATATTATTTGGAAGTATATGATATATTGTTAAATTCAATGTACAGACACATACTGATTTCAAAGAAGATAGGGAAAAGTATCAGTGTGCAATAGATTGGATCTGGTCTGAGTCTCAGATAAATTCATTAGAAAGACTATGGTGAAATGACTATACTGCATAATACAGTAAGTGGGATTTGGATTCTGACAAACCTGGATTTGTAATCCAGTAAAACAGATTGTCACTTGGAAGCTCCATTTCTGCAAGCTACGTGAGGTCAGAGCCTGGGACATATTGATACTTAAAATCTGTAAAATGGAGCCAAAAGCTATGCTGTAGTCACAACAAAGAGTCCTTGGGTTGTGCAAATGATTAACATGATCAGCTGCTAAACTAAAGCTTTTTTTTTTTTTTTTTTGAGTACACCAAGAGGCACCTCAGAAGAAAGGAATGCTGATTTACTTTAGAAAAATCAGCCAGATGAAAACCCTATGAAGTACAGTATTCTCTACCCTGACACACATGGGGTCACCATGCTTTGGAATAGATTCAATGGCAAGTGTAGTTACAATAAACTCCTTGTCCTTTCCAAACTTCATGCACTTGTTCCCTCAAAGCTCAAATGTTCTTTTCCTACCTTGTTACCAGTGTAAATTTGTATCTTCCTTAAAAACTACTCAAAGGTCTTTGCTTCCTTTAAGGCTCTCTTGCTTGTTTTAGTCAAAGGTTAAGCCAGTATTACCCTAGATGCTCATTGTCTGTCTCACTTATCATAGGCTATTAGTTGCCAGTTTTTCTTGGCCATTAGAATTTCAATGCTTAGAAGGCAGGGGCTATGTTTTGTCTCTGTTCTAGCAACCACTTTTCATAAATTTCAATTGCCAAGTTCAAATCATGGTAGACAATAGACAATAAATAGTTGATGACTTGATACATTAGTGAGAAAAAATTTTAAAAAATTAAATAAATATATAGAAGCAATTAGGCTGGTATAGCGTAAGGGTAATTTGAGGTTAGTTTGTTTGATTTTTGTTTATAACACTAAGATTCCTCCTTTGTTCAAACTGGATCATGTAATTGTCTAACTAACTTACACATAGTACTGCCTTTAACACCGGAAATCAAACAAACAAAAATCACTGCATCCTATTCTTAAAAAAAAAAAAAAAAAAAATCACTTGAGTGGTGATTGTTGGGGTAAGACTCATAATTGTCCTCTGATATTATTTTTATCACTTAATAGCTTCATGACACTGAACAACTCAGCTACCCTTGCCATGATTTATCTGTGATATTCAAATAATGCATCCATTCACCCACTTATTCAGCAGATAGTTATGAAGGGTGCTAGGAAGTGGTAAAAGCTGAGACATCACCATTGCCTTGGTGGAGGTTACTGAACAGAGATGGAGACAGGTATTAAACAATTAAACACTAAATAAATAAAAATTCCAACTTGTGTAAGTTCTATGAAAGAAAAAAAATATTGTCATTTAAGACAGTAATATTCTGTCAATGCAAATATAAATTTTCTCAATGAAAAAAAAACCAAAAAACATTCTGCTTTCCTGCTTTGTATTCTAGAGATGAAGACAAGGGCCCTTAAAAAAGATGACTCAAAATTTCCTCTACCATTTTCCCTTCCCTGTCCTTCTAGTTCCAAAGAAGTCTTTACTCTCACTGTGGTGGCATCAAAGACATATTTGATGTTCATATCTGGTTGGTATCTTACTTTAATCCCACAGAGACTGTGGGTTTATGATCTGGCTCTGGATGAAGTGAATACATCCTCCTCTCATTTTCCTGAAAGTGAGGTTCAAAGTGGACCGTGAAGTACCAAACACCTACTGCTGAGGCAATTCTGATTTATAGCATCTCTATAGGACAGAGTAGACCTGCCCCATAGGGTTTCTAAGGCTAAATATTTACGGAAGCAGACTTCTAGAACTTTCTTCCACAAAGCAGCTGGCAGGTTTGAAGCACTGACCTTTCAGTTAGAAGTTGAGCACTTAACTACTGTGCCACCAGGACCCCTAGGACCCTGAGATCAATAATAAAGCACAGTGGACAGCACAGTAGTAATAGGCAGGATCAAAGCACAGCAGGTTACAAGATGTCTCCCAGCTTCTCACTTATCTGTCCAATTGATTCTCTTCAAAATGTGACTATGCAGAAAATTAGCTGATGCTGAGATTACCAGCATACTTTGCATTGTAATTAGAAATGGTATAAACCTAACCCTCTTCCACTCTAGTTCTACAAAAAGGTAGATAACTTCACTTACACATTTACAAAACTACATTAATATTAAAATTAAGAGTTTAGGTTGGGAGAAAATATTGCTGTGCAAAGCATAGTTAATGAGGCAAAAAAAAAGTTCCCATGTTACTTTTACATGTATTTTTCCAAAGACAAATAAGAACCTAAAAATTATTAAGATTCATATTTTCATAATACTAAGAACACCAGCATTAACATGACTGAAAATGATGGAGATACCTAGACTGAAAGCCTTATAACAAAAACTAACCAAAACTCAATGTCATTGAGTTGGTTCTGACGGGTTTCCAAGGCGGTATCTCTCCAGAAGTAGATTGTTCAGTCCTCCTTCTGAGGAGTGGTTGGTGGGTTTGAACCTCCAGCCTTCTGGTTAGTAGTCAAATGCCTTGGCACTAAGCCACCAGAGCTCTTGAACACTTTATAGAAAGTAAAAATTACTTAAGTGTCTATTTAAATGGGAAACAAACCTCATCCCATTCCTGATCTCCTAGCAAACTCAAATCCTTACCACTGTCTGAAGTTCCAATTGTGGAGTTTGCTCACTAGTTCGTAATATTGATTTTGGAGATGGTGAAGCTTTCATGTTGCTCACATCTACAAACACATACAAAGTGATGTGTGTATTTAGTTGACTCTTGGTCGTGTGTGAAGCCAGAACTAGAAGATACTAGATTAGCCACACAAGCATGGCAGACTCCAGCTGAGTAAGATGGAGACGCCTGTAATTAGTTCATTTTAACTGGAACCACCACCATCATCACCAAAAGTTATCTTACAGCTAATTTTGACTCACAGTGACTCCATGTGTTTCAGGACAGAACTAAGCTGCATACACAGTGAAAATCAAGGAGTACTGAGACATCTATTTGTTGCACTATCTTTTTTCTCTATAGAATATAGAAATGTGACTTTCTCTGAATAGAAATAGAAAAATAGAGCATGTTAAATGATATTAAATCACCAATTACATTTTAAAAATTTAAACATACATTACGAAAGTTACAGATAATTTGTAGTTTTCTCCATGATTGCCTTAAGATTTTTGCCTACACATTAAGAATGTGAAGAAAAATTTTGTAATATTGAACAACTAGTAAGTACACTTGTCATGAATATTTATGTATTTTAAACTATTTGCTTCATTAATACGCCCATGTACTGAATGAATGTCTAATCTCACATACTGTGTGGAGAACCATAGGTATTTCTGATCTCATTTTCGCTTCACTTACTCTGACTTCCTTATAATATTTTTCAGATAAATGATGAAGTATACTTTATCTTGGGAAATGTTCAGTAATGGAGATTTTAAAAACAATATTGAGGAATATAGGTAGGAACAATAGAGTTGCTTTTTGGAATAATTATTTTTATTGTTAACTATTTTAATTTTTTTTTCTGTATTTAAAAACCAGTGCTGAATCCTAGTTTTACTAATATGTACATAATAATATGCTATTTGCCTGGTTTGATATCTGTGTCAAATTGATTTCTGCTTACAAAATCTATTAACTGATTTAAGCTCCTAATACAGTTATTTCAACTTATATTATATATCCTAATAAATGACTCTATTCAAAGAATCTCTCATCATATATGTTGCTATCTGTTGGCAAGTCCCAACTCATAGTGACCTCATACTCAACTGAATGAAATACTGTATGATCCTGTGTCATCCTCATGATCAATGTGGTGGTCCATAGAGTTTATATTGGCTGATATTCTCAAGAGTAGATTGCCAGATATTTCTTCTTAGTTTTCATCTTTGTCTGAAAACTCTGCTGAAACCTCATAGCAACACACAAGCTTTCACTGACAGATAAATTGAGGCTACATATGAGATACTCTGGCTGAGAATTCAGTCAGATTTCCTGAGTGGAACATGAGTTATTTGCCACTAAGCCAGGCATTTGACTGCTAACCAGAAGGCTAGCAGTTCAAACCCACCAGCCACTCCTTGGAAGGAAGGTTGGGCAATCTACTTACAGAGTAACACCTCCTTGGAAACACAAGGAGAGATCATTATGATTTGGATCCTACTCAACAGCAGTGAGTTCTTTTGAGTTAAACCACCAATACATCCCCCTATGCATTAAAGTGAAGTGTATTATAAAAGTTCTTAAAAAAAAAAAAAAAA